TCTTACAATACCGATAGACGCTAAAGAGATGGAGCTTCTCGTCCCATATCGTGTGAGTTCGTTTTTTAAAAGTTCGGAATTGTGATCACCTGCCTTGTGCCGAGAATTTCATCCTCTTTTGCTTTTGCCTTTGGTTACAGAACCACACGCGCACTACATTTTTCTTTAGATCAAGCTTCTCGGCAATGGCTGCAATCTTTTCACTGGATGGTCGTGGCTGAACCGCGAAATACGCTTCCAATGATCGTTTCTCCGGCGCCGCAATGCTCGTCCGTTTGCGTTTCTTTTCGCCGTTGCTGAAAATATCTGGATTTTTGTCTTTGCTTTTGGCAGCTTTCTCGGCTTCCTCAAGCCAGGCACTGAGTATTGGCTTCAGAGCGATCATGTTATTGTGGCTTAGTGTCAGTGACTCAAAACGACAGATTGTACTCTGGCTTAACGACCCAACGCCGGGGAGTTTTAGATTGCCCAGTGCCGACCCGACATCACACTGTGTGACACCCAGTTTGATGCGACGCTGTTTGAAGTGTTCAGCAAACGCTTCCAATTCTCTTGGATCCGTGTCTAAGTCCGTCATGCCGTGTGTCATCATAGAGTGTGGGGCTGCCATGACGTGGTGGTGGTGTCCGGACATGCTGACATGACTCTGATGATGCTGCGCCATCGTCGTGATCGAATCTCCGATACTTGTAAACGGCATTGGATTTGACATGGATATCGCCATGGACATTGGATCCCCAAGAAGTTCTCCATGATCTAGGCCTGGGTGTATAGATCTTGAGGTAGGAGCGGAAAGATGCGGATGGTGGTTTGAACCGTTCATGTGATGATGGTAGCCAGTGTCGTTCTTGAAATTCAAACCAGGTGCTCCTTTTGCTACGGAGACCGCATCCACTGCAGCCAGTGCCTCTGCCCGTGCCAGTAAACTGTCATCCAATCCGCCGAATATATTGCTCTGTGAAATTGCAAATAAATGCAAGTCAGTCAAGGGGGAATTCTGATAAGCCAACATTTTACACACAGCCGGAATAAAATTCCAACTTGGGTCATCAAATATGAAACAGTGTATACATAAATAACGCGAACTCAGCGTGGACTTAAACTGGAGTGACGGACCACTAAATGAAATGGGTATTCGTCTATGAAAACAATACATTTACTTGTAAGTAGAAAAAGAGTACATTTGTTTCTATTGCAATGCATAAATACATACCGTAGTAGTTGCCATGCAGTGTCTTCGCATCATTTCGGAACTGTGATCGTGTCTATGTAAGGGCGAGTACTTGGGCGCGGCGGGTATCGGCGGGTGCATACTGACGTGGTCTTTCTGCATCATCATCTTTGACGACGTAGTGAGTTGCTCCACACAGCTCGTGACAACAGTGTGTACGCAATAAGGGGAACGAATCGAAAATGGAACAGTTAACTGGTGTGTACGGAAAGAAACCCAGCTATACAAAATATAATGCTTTGTATTGCCATCAATACACCTGCACCTGTTCTCATATATTCATAGTCTGACGTCATGTCGCGCATGCGCTGATTCAGTGTTGTGGCAGTAATTTTACGAAAGCTCACTGGACGCAGATAGTGGACCGTTACAAATGAACGGAAACACCGGGGACTGTTCGCTTAGAATAAACGATACATTCAGTGGGAGCAATTAGCGGCCACCCGCGCCCGACAAAATGACGCGGCCATTTACAGTCATATTTTGGTAGCACAACTGGGACGGCGTGACGGCAACAATGAAGTAAGTGTGAGGAGTACTATAAGTTATACGCAAAATGTAAAATTGTAAAACAAAAAACAAATAATCGTTGCTAGAAATAAATAAAATTAAAAATTAAAAAAAAATTGCCGAATCTTATCAAGTGGCATCGTAATATTATATATTAATATAAAAGTAATGCAAGAAACACGGACTACTATGTGATGGTAGGTTTCCCTATGAATTTCAATAATATCAATAAATCGTGTTTTACACTAAATAATTCTTCGACTTCATTATTTAAATATACGATTAGTTTTTTTTACCAGAAGTATTGACTTTTGACGAAGAATAAGAAAAAAAAACACGCGATGAATTGGATCAACTGAGACGAGTGGAGTTTGGTTTGTGACGACTTTGATGGCGGTCTGAATTGCCATATTGAATGGACACGTGTGGGGACCACAGAATGCCATACGCCGTTCATACGTATTTTAGCTTACACAATTGATTGAACAAAGCGAACACGAACTTATTAGTAGCAGTGACTAAACAAAACAGCAATCATTCCCATGACAACAATGTCACATATATACGAGAACATGACTTTTACAATGTTGGGAAAGAATAAAATATTGAAGTTTTGATAAACTATTCACTTTTCTCTTTTTTTTTGGTAAAGGGTAATAGATTCAGCGATGAGTGGGACGACGCACAGAACTCGGCTTTTATTCTTCTGCGCTGAATGGGATTGAAATAGGCCAGAGGGTCACAAAGTGATTCTATTACATATAATACACTTGACAATATCCCTCCTTTATCCCCTTATTTTTTACCCGCTCCACGTACCGTATTCTGTTCCTTTTCTATACTTAAAATAATCGCTGACATTATAAGTAGAACGAATCAGAAGGGATCGGCAATAAAATATGCCTTGTATATGAATTGATGGTAGCCGTATTCGCTAAATGATATAAACGATCGCGCTATATAAACAACATACGTATTACTATGTGTTAAATATAATATAATATTGAAGTTATATTTATTTATTTATCGGTTTGTTTTATTGTTTATTTATTCACAGATCATATCATATAATTATATAATTACTATATATACATGTTAAGTTTACAATATTTTTTCAATAGGAGTAGATAGAATATTGATTTGCGACGTTTTGAAATCAACTGAGACAACTTAGCACCCCGCCAACTGACGCAACGACAGTTCAATGCATTTTTAATGCAAGTAGGTGTGCGTACAACTACTGTTTGTCACATGTGTGTGTAGAAACTAAATATTTCCAGATTTAGATTGTTGTAATTAAGGAAACGGGATTAAACTTATCGAGGTCTTATTGGGATCAGATTAGTGAGTATAGGTGGATTTGTGGGTAAACTATGTTTTCAGAAGAGTAATGGTGATCACTTCCGTGCAATGTTTAGCTGCGATTCGATAACACTCAGCGGAGCAAACGCATTAACTTAATAGCATCAAGCTTGGGCTTTTCACAAACACAATACAACACGCGACACTAATGTTAATACTGTTAAAATTCGTCCGAGAAGAGCATATTTTCTGAGGTTCACTAAACTGAAATTTTTGTCACATTCAATTAGGCAAAGCGCCTATTTTCGATGCACTGGATCATGAAGACTGGACCGAGCTACAGCGGGGAGATGACATCGCATTTTCCGCATGGCTAAATAAGCGATGTCTCTTTTCCATGTCTTAAACATAGAGTGGCCAGAAATACAGAATTACTGCTTGATGAGCTTCGCTGATGAGGTGGGCACATTTACATGGACGTCAAGCCTAATTACAATAGCGCTTCTTCACAGTGACTTCACACGACACACAATGCTAGCGTTGCAGGGACGGGGTGAATTGCATGCTCGACAAACGTGCCGACCAATTACAAATTAATGGAATTAAAAGGTGGTCCTACAATAAAAACAATTAATGAAAAATGCGGGAATTTCTGTTAGATCATTTCGCTTGGAATTTAATATGACATTACGAGAGTGTTATTGTGTGTCACCATGGTGATTGGCCACGTCGAAATAAGGATGAAATGTGGAAATGAATTGCAATTGGACACATATCATTTTGAAAATAAACGTCTATTCCAATGCATTTGTACAGTAAGCAGATTCATTATAAAATACATTAAAACGACAGTTTTATTTTTTGGGGGCTGCAATTTCTATATGCGTGAAATACACTGTGGAAAAGTTATATAGTAGATAATATTTGGTAATTGTAGTCCTATGTAACTATTAAAAATAGCTACTGTGGAAAAGTTGATGTACAATAACCGAATCACATCACCGTATTCGAAGATGGGAGTTGGTCGCCATAGCAACCCTGTATTATTGGTTTAACATGAAAGACCGAATTGGTATTTAATATTTGCACCAAAATATATTGGCAACTCCAGTGAGTGTAAACATCTTATTTTTTGGCGGAAAATTATCAAATGCTGAATCATGCGATGCATGCATATTTTTTTTTTTTTTTTTGTAAACAGAAGTGAAGGAAAAAGTTAGAAACAGCTTATAGGTATCGAGGGGACATGGGATATGCGTCAGTCATTCTATCTAGCGTACATTGCGTGCCTAGACCTAGTGTGTACGGATAAATCATATTAATGAACCATTAACGGTGTATCATCGTCATTAGAGCCTGGGGCCAAATTAATAGACATCAACAGTCCATCCTTAAGAATTAATCCAGTTATATTGTACATTCGATTTGTACCGAGTTTGACGACAAATGATGTTGACACGGACAGGAAGTGTTGACGCTGATTGTCAACTTTAGCAATTTCTCTTTACTCTTCCTTTAAAGATAATCTGTGTTATCATGTACTTGATTGTTCCGCATCCTCATTCATTTCCGACATAGTGCATCATGGGAGGCCTCACGGTTTGCTACTTTTTTTTTCATGATATAATTCCATATTCGTGACATGGCAAGGGAATTGACATAAAATGTAATAGACTCTGTGCTAAGTAAACACCATCGTACAATTGAAAGTTTTACCGTGAAAGTAGAATAGGTCTGAGGAGCGTTTAGCCGTGTCTACGAGGCAGTGAATTTTTCATGCGAGGTTGTTAATTTTTTATACCATGAGAAGTGTCTGTATGCAGCTAGCGCTATTCAATAACTGATAGGTACTCGTTAGTTTAATTGAGTTCTACTTGTATTGTTGTTCTTTTTTAAACTATGGCCCGATACTTGTATAAAGGAAATTCGAAGTAATGCGGCGAGTGTTGAGGATGCGGAGAGGCCAAATATCAACACGTTATCTTATTGTACTTCGCAAGTGGCACACAAAGACCGAGTGTCAGACACCTGAAATAATATTAATGAGAGACTGTTATAAATAAATATCCATTTATAAGCTTCCGTGGAACGACACACTAGATCGTATGTACTGAACCAACAGTTATATTATTCATATCAGAATCTGGTCTAAACCATCACTCAATCAGATCTGGATATGTCACCACTCAATTTAACTAATTGTCGGATTCAGTGCAAGTATAACTCAGCGAGTGGCTAGTTGTTGCTGGCTGATATCGTTGAAGTGTGCCGAGTGCAGCACAAGCCACAAAAGCGAAAATATTTCAAATGTTTCCAACACACTGTGAAAGTTTTCTAAACTTACGATATTAAGTACGGGTTAAGGTTGCCTTTGAAATAAAGAAAACAGGGTTGACTTCAGTTGGTAACCAATGGAATCAAAATACCGGAAACTAATAATAATCGGATTTAACAGTAGCTGGACGTAAGCGGATTGTTTTGGGTGTTGACATTTTATATCAAACAAGAGTAAATATGAAATCAAAGATGATCCTATTTTAAATTATTTATATACATTGAAACTGATTAATAACGTCTAATGTAGCAGGCTAATCCGTAAACTAAAAGGCGGGACCAGTGGTGTATCGATGTCTATTGTACATAGTGAGGGTATTGAGCTGTCTTCGCAAAAGAATGGAAGATCGAGTGAAATTTACACAACAGTTTTAAAATAAGTCCTGTCTGGTGATGCGTGTCTAGTAAATTTAGATGTTACTTTCCCATGTGTGCGCCCATATATTTATAAATGTGACTCCCCCTTCAGTGCACGGCGATATATATATTTGTAAATGTGACTTCTGTCCCCAGCGCATGTCTATATATTTGTATTCCCGACCATCGCTGACAGTGTTGTTAATGAATTCAATTCAACTTTATAAATAATTCTTGTTGGATAACGCAAGTAGATATACATCGGCAGTTGTGTTAAACTCTGCTGCCACTGCTGATGCCAGTATAATCAATATAGTTGTTCATAAAATGCAGCGTAGCGGTACTTAACAACATCGCGTCGACGTCTCTTCGTAGATAAGCCAGTTCTTGAGATAACAAAACGGGTGCATAATATTATTACTATATATGAGGAGTGCGGCGTTCCAATTTTGGGAGTGATAAACAGTCCCAAACAAAAAATGAAAAAAACTTGTGAGCGGCTTAAAAAAAGATCTGGGTAATTGGAAAATAACAGGTGAATGATTATGCGTTTAAAAGAAAAAAATAGCATTTCATTATTAAATTGGTGTAGTGTTCGATGGCGACGTCTCATCCTCATAATGGCTATTTAATTTCAACCCAGAATCTAAAGGAGTGTTCTATCAAATTGATTAGTTGGGATCAAC